ACTATAAAAAAAAAAAGGCATGGAATAAATAAATGAATGAGAGGAGTACTAAGTGCAAAACTCTATTTTTTTTCCTTAATACACACCACTTCTGAAATATAGGTATCATTTTCTTTTTTATACCTTTTTTTATTAGAAAGGAAACTGACTTTTTTGAGACATTAGTTGACTTACTCAAGGTCCTGTGACAAGTAAATGTCAATTAAGTTCATTTATCCCACTATCATCTCTACTCCCAAATTACCATGAGCATCACATGAACAGATTATAACCCACTCTAGTACAGTAACATATTTGATATCAGTTTTCCTTATTGGCATGACACACTTATTTGCTAACCACTATTAAACATCAGCAAGTTCACAATCTTTGCAGCTATGTGAGTTCCTAAGTTTGTAGTTTTTATCTGGGAATAAGGACACCAAAGTCAGAGACTAGAGAAACATACAGATAGTTACACATCTGCACATGAATTTCCCTGAGATTACATTTGTGATTAATGGCTAAACTCAGAGAAGTCACGTTTTATAGAATGATGTCAATAGCAGGACAAAGCATTAGATGCCCTGCCTGGGTACAAGAAACCCTTACATAAATATGGAGCTGCAGTTTGACTCTTGCCTTTGACAGCAGCAAATCCTCTCTCTTAAGGCAATATGTTGAGAAAAATTTAGTCATCCCATTTCCAGTTTATGTTTCTGGAATAATAAGAGAAAGACATATTCACATAGTTTCAAGGGGGAGGCTAAGAAATATAACTGCTACAATAGCAAATAAAAATATATTGAGGTAAACATTCCAAAAATGTTTTCCAGGGAGGGATTTAACACAATAATCTAAAAACAATATTGATTCAAATTTGAATGAAAATGAGGTAATAAAAAAATGAAGCATAAAACCTAACTTAAATTCATTCATCTACTTATAATCACTTTTGTATTTCTCTCAACTCAGAAAGCTGTATAACTTTCTTTTGCATTTTAAGATGAATCTTGGTTAATGCCAGAAATGTCATTATTAGTTTTCTTAATCAAATCTTTATGTTTATAGTTAATATTCTTAATATTTATAAAGTTATTATAAGTGATTATACCAAAGATGTGCTCTAATAATTATGTTGAGTATATGAACATTTCAGAAAACTTGAAAAAATAATAAAACACATGAAAAAAATTTTCAACCCAACTGGTTTCTAAAGAAATACATACTCAAATAATAAAAAATGCAAATTTTTCAAATTGCAAAAATGTAAAATTTAGAAAACGACAGTATCTTCTATTAGTTGCAGTGTGCAGAAGGAGGTACTCTCGTAGCTTGCTGGTAGGATTATTGAGTGATATAATCTTCTTGCAGTGTAATTTGGGAATAGGGTATTACATATTTTTAATTTGATATGCATATTTGACTGACTCTAGCAAGTCATCCTAAGAAAAATTTTTATTTTTTCCAAATATAGAGTCTTAATGATGGTTATCATTTGGATACTTATGCAAAAAAAAAAAAAAAAAAAAAAAAAACTTTTTCATGAGTCTAACAGATTAGGTTTTATCAGTAAAGTTAACATTAAAGTAAATACACAATACCTACAAATGTAGAAAAACTACTCCTGTCATATAGAAATATCCGTGAAAAAGCAAGTAAAAGTAACGGAACCAGATGTCATCTCAGAGTTATCATCTACCTGTATGTCAGTGCTTACAAAAGGGCCTCTGAGGCTATACCAAAAAGTGAATTCTATTATCAAATTCTATATCAAAAAGTCTATGCTATAGAATTCCCTTTTTGGTAGAATTCCTTTACCACCACTTGGTAGAAGAATAATGAATGACTTGTTTTCTTTTTATTCTTCAACATACTTTACAAATTTTCAACAGTGACTTTTGAATTATTTTATAAAAAGAAGAAACTAGTTTATAAAAAGAAAGATTAAAAACTAATCAGTTATAGGGCCTCCCCGGTGGCGCAGCGGTTGAGCGCTGGGTTGCGAAGCTGCCCGCAGCCTCTGCAGCGCCGGTTCGATCCCCGATCCCCGGCTGCTCCCCGGCCACCAGAGGAGGGTCCCGCATGGCACACAGACTTCTCCTGCCACCCGCTGCTCCCCTCAGCAGTGTGCTTCGGTCCTTCTGCCTGCTCTGCTCCCTGCTCTGGCTCTGGGGAATTCTCTCACCCTCCTGGGCTTCTGACTGTACCCAATGCATGTATAAATAAAACAAACAAACAAACAAATAAATAAATAAAACATGCCTCTATAAAAAAAAAAAACTAATCAGTTATAAAAGTATGATTACTTAATCTTGATCAAATATGAAATAATGAAAAAAATGAGCACTATCATAAGGGTCGGAGAAAAGAAGGAAAAAAATATATAAGAAACATAGAAAAGCAAAACAATATAGAGAAATGGGAGAAAGAAAAGGAAGAATCATAATTCAGTATGATGTTTTAGTCCAAGTAATATACCAAGTACTACACTTTTCATTTTTATGGTATATGCCAAAAAATTCATAATCAGTAAAGTACATAATGTTTGTTTTAAGTATGGATCTTGGGCCTCGCTGGCGGCGCAGGCGGTTGAGCGCCGCACTGTGAAGCTGTCCGCAGCCTCTGCAACGCCGGTTCAATCCCCAACTGGCCAGGGAGAAACCCATATGGCTCGGCAGACCTCTTCTGTCCCCCGCACTGCTACCCTCAGCAGTGCATTTCGGTCAATCTGCCTTTTCTGTTCCCCGCTCTGTCTCTGGTGATTCCTCTCACCCTCCCACACATCTAGCCTGTACCCCGGTTCTTGTATAAATAAATAAATCTTTAAAAAAATAATAATAGGGGTCTCCCCTGGTGGTACAGAGGTTGAGCACTGGGCTGCGAAGAAGCTGCCTGCAGCCTCTGTAGTGATGGTTCGATCCCAGCCGCCAGCGAGGGTCCCACATGGCAGGACAGACCTTTCCTGCTGCACCCGCTGCTCCTCTCAACAGTGTATTTCATCGGCCTGCCTGTTCTGTTCCCCGCTCTGGCTCTGGTGAATTCTGTCACCCTCCTGCGTTTCTGACTGTACCCAGTGCTTGTATAAATAAATAAATAAATCTTAAATAATAATAATAAAGTATGGATCTTTCTCTTATTTTTTCTGTCAGTTATCTAAAGATTTTATGTGATTTCTTTCTGAACCTCATTAATGATTTGGGAATTACTAAATGAAATTGAATGCATTACTCAAATTAAATGTATTGAATATTTATTTTTGAGTAATATGAAGTGCAGCCTTTAACTATGACACCTTTTATTAGTCTAGTTGTGTTCTTTCTTCAGTTAATAGTACTTTACACTATACAAGGCATTTTTCCATACTTTGTCCCATTTATTATCCTGTTTATAAAATATCAGATGAACAAAAATCTAGCAAGGTTAGATGGCTCCCTAACACCCCAGCAATGTTTAAAGCAAATCAAAAATAACAAAGCCATATAAACTATGGGTGTTCTCAAACTGAGCAATACTTTGAAAAGCATCATTCATACCAATCACGCAATTCCTGTTTAATTTCCCTTCTACAATAATATGCCATGATTCCAATAATTTATGTTTGGTTTCTGTCTGTAATTGATCTCCATGAGTAAGAACTGCTGAATGTAAAATATCACGGTGCAGGATGTCCAGCTATTTTTCAGCAAGTCATAGCATTTTTTTCTATATTACATGTTGCAAAGAATAAACATAAAAATTCTATATATATTTTGGCTTATCTTTGGGAATTTCAGCAAAGCTCTATAGTTTCAATTTAATCTAGAAAGTATATATGTAACAAGAAATATACTCTAGGCGAGGTTATTGTGAATGTCTGTATGTAAATAATTAGACAGCAAAAATCCTTTAATAATAATTTTAGGGATAAATTGCCTAATTGCCAGTAGATTAGGTTAATATGTTAAAATTTTACATATATATATCAACATATATATATATATCAACATATATATATATATATATAAAGTTTTTCCTATCTGTGTTGTGGACTTTCAAATGTAAAATTTTAAAAATAGACTCTACGGAGCATAAGAAATCACTGAAACTAGCTTCTGCTCCTTAGAATTAATCTTTACCTTTATTCTGCCTATTGGGGTGAAGGGGGAGAGGTACAAACATCCAAGTAGATAAGCCCCTAGCATCCTGAATTTAGGATCCTTTATCTTCTTCCATTTAATGACATTTGTCTTCAGCCTATCGCAGGTGCTCTCTGTCCTGTGTGTGCTGGTGATTCTCAAAGTTATTTGTGTAGATCAATTTTTTCCTCTTAGTTCTAGCGTCCTTTCAGTTTACCATTTCCATTTGATTATTTCATAGGCATTTCACAAATTGTATGTTCAAAATGGGGCTCTGGTATTCCCCTCAAATTATAATATATTACCAATCTCATGATCTCAGAAAATTGCAACACCTATACCCAGTGGCCTACTCAGAAAGCTGGTGTTCACATTCAGTAAGCCTTTTCTCTTACTATTGTAAATCAGGTATCCTTTACATCTACTACCAATATTGTAATGCAACCTCCTTCCAGATTTTCATCTCCATTTCCAACCACCTTTCCCCTAACCTGGTCATCACACAGCAGCCATATAATCTTTTAAACTTTTAAAACAATATTTTCAATAATAACATCGTCATTAATTTTTACAGCATTTTAAACATGCAGTTCATGCCCTACTCTAAATATATATCATAATCTTCTACTTTTTCTGAGTCTATTAAGCTATAGTTGACATTCACTACATATGTTAAATCTTACATATGTTTGATATGTTTCAATATGCTTATACCCATGAAGTCCTTACAATCAAGATAAAAACATAGCCTCAAACTTCAATTGCCCATTTACAGTCTTTTTATTGTCTCTGTCATCTCTCCTCTACCCCTGTCTGCAGATAACCACTGATCTGCTTTATGTCACTCAAGATCAGTTGGCATTTTCTAGAAATTTTCAAAAATGGATTAATACTTCCACTTACCTAAGCAGAGTCCACATTGATTTCTCCAGTTCCAATCTTGAAAAAAACAAAGAAATCAGGATGAGCAAATTTAATGAAAATCATCTGGAAAATGCCAGCATGGTCAACTACTTTTTAGATTGTCTTATGAAACACAACAGTTCCATGTGCATGTATCTTTTCAGCCTAATAAAAATTATATTAATAATTTTTTCATCAAATTTTTATAAACCTTTTTTCTCAGCTCAATTTAAAATAATAGATCTTATGGTTTGGGAGATTTTTTGTCAAGATCCAGTGATATTAGTTAAAGCAATAAATGTGTGTGTTTACCAAAGAGCTAAATCTTAACAATGTAAGCAATGCAAGGAACTCCTTACAGCACAAGGACTAGTCCATTTTGTAAGAATTTTTTTCTGACTTTTCTCAAGGAAATTGCTTTTGTAATTTAAGAATGTTCTATGCAATTTTGATTATGAATCATATTGAAATAATATCCTAAAACTATCATTGCTTTACTCAAAATAATCACAGCATATTTTTGCTTCTTGTTTCTTTAAAAGGAATGCTTTAATTTGCTTTTATAACAATGAGTATGAAAAGAAATGCCAAAATACAACTAACTTCACTTCCTTTTGGAATTTGACATTTTCTACTAGCTATGTAACATAAATATGAATCACCTAAATGAGCAGTATTTTAAAGGTATCATTTTCACAACATTTTAATTGTTGTCACATTTCTTCTTTGTTAGGGAGACGTCTGGTGAACACCCGTGGGATCTAAAGAACAAGTAAGATTTAAAGCGTGCTGGGTTTTGGAGGCCTTTTTTTTTTTTTTTTTTGGTCTGGCTTTCAAATTTACTCTGCTTTATTATTTATTTGTGTTTCTTTCCTACTACTGGTTATAACTTCATAGATAAATGTTAGTAATTTTACTATAGAGTAGGAGGAATAAAAGTGAAATTTCGGTACTTTTAGATTTTTGTCAGTGACTTAAAAATACCTACATACTTGTTTGCATATGGTGGGCTGACAAAAAGACATTACAGATGGAGTGCAATTTCAAAACCCAAGGTAATGGACATGTTTTATATTTGAGTGAAACATAAATCTGTACAGTGGATTTTTACAAAATAATTTTATAAAATACACATTACTGTTGTTCTTGTCTTACTCTGATTTCTTGCCTATCAGCAGAGTAGTCAGTGAGTGGTTGTTTTGATTCCCCAAACTCACCTCCTATAAAACTATGACATAGTAGCAGGAAAACTGGGACATTGTGAAATCTGCTGCCAAAATTGAAATCAAAGGTATTGGGATGAAGAAAGGAGAGCCTTTAATTAATAGAATAAGAATGATAACACATGGAATAATAGTCAAAAGTAAAGCAAATGAGAAAGAGGGGATTAAAAACAAGAAGAGAGAAAACCAATGAATGGAGAGTTACATAGTTTACCTGTGCTTTATTGTCAACATTTGGAAGAAAGGAAATAGGGGTAGGCCAAATTAAGACTAAAAATTAGATACTGGAAGCCAAAGAAAGGAGGAGATGTAATATGTAATTGCACTTGAGAGAAAAATAGAAAGAAGTGAGTAAGTAGTAACAGAGAGAGGGAGAACATTCTATTTATAATTTTTGCTACTTAGCTTGTTTAGCAATTTAGTTATTTGCCTATTTTTATCTATTTCATTGAAAAAATTCATTGCTGTGTTATTTGATGTTTCTGAGAATCGCCATTTATGCTCAGTTCAAGCCATGTTGAAATGAAGAAAATGTCTCTTGATTTGTTTCGCGTTTCCTTATGTGTTCTAACCTTGCTCTAAAATCACTTGACTTCTAAAAAAAGGAAAATCAAACATTTAGAGAGGGAAATATGTCATTAAAATGTATTTCTAATCTACAGAAAGCATATGTTAAACAATTCAAATTTGCAGTCAGAACATTTCAAATTACTCCTGCATTCAGGGGCACAAAATCCTAGAATTGCCCTGTAGTTATTCTGTAATTGCTATTTGAAGGCAAAAGAAAAGTTACAGTCTTGTTGATCTCACTTATAATTGAGCTGAGTAACATAACTGAGGTTAAAAAGCTAGAAAAGGGAAGGGGCTGGAATTAGCACTCAGAACACTTTCCACAGCTCATGTATATTGCAAAGCAGCCTGCTACCTTATATAGTTGGGGAAATATAGTTTTTTCAATTCAAATATTTTTGGAAGTATTAGCTCAGTGATTTTATCCACACTGGTCTAGAGAAATGTTTCGTGAAGAAGAGAAGGGAGAGCATAAGTGAGTGCTCGTTCTCAAGAAGGGTGAGGACTGCTCAAAGGTAAGCAGTGCAATAGTCTCACTAAATCAGTCTGGTGCCTAAGACTTGCTCAGTGGGAAGACATTAATAAGCATTTTTTTTTTTAAATCCTATAATTCTCTCCTACTTTGCCATTTGAGAATAGATTACTAAAGTTCTCTTGTGTGCCCCTTTACGGTCCAAATCATCTGCATCCTTATGTGAGTTTACCAGAAAAGTCCCAGTCCCTGTATTTCTTTCTACTTATTGATAAAGAGGCATTAAGGAGGCATTCCTCTCCTCCTTAGCAAAAACCCAAAGATCCTCTTTTCTGGATGTCCCTACTTTACTGCTAATTTTATGGAATCTGTGACTCATTTGAGTTTGTCTAAGTATACTTGCTGAAGTCAGGGAAGAAAATGATTATTATATCCAAACATGGATATAATCCACATTTATAGTCTCTTGAGATACCAGCCACATGAATGCTAAGAAAAAATAATGTTAGGGGTAAAAATGAGGCTCTTGCATGGTCTGGCAATTGTATGATTTTAGCAATAATTGTTTATAATTAAGTTCATTGAAATAAACCTGTTTTATTAATTTTGAACAAATTATTCCAAATAGCTAGATTGTTGAACAAACTCAACAAATAATTTGCTTTTTGCTCCTTTACTCAGATACAAACAAGCGCACACACACACAGACATATATACTTACTTGCACACATGTACCCACAGAATATAACAAGAACTTTTCCTCCTTGTAATGAATTATTCTATATTATATATCATAAGTAATAATAATAATAATTATTATTATTATTATTCTATATTATATATCATAAGTAATCTAGGACAAGATTTTTGGATAACATCTGAAATGACTGAGCTTTAAATGTGTTATGACATTGCTAAATGTTAAGTGATATATGTTTATCTAAACACTGTGTTTTAAGTAGTCATCATCTTGCTTCATAAGGGAGAAACTGACTTTGTTTAGAAATATGCCTTCATTTCACTGATATCACAGTACAGATTTCGCCTTCCTCAGATTGTCTCCAGTGTAAACATGCTGCTTGATAAAAATGGCCATAAAGTTAACTTGATTGCTAGGCAGCTATATTGTTATTACCACAGATAAACACACTTATTTCCTTTTTGGATTATTCCCAGTAAGGAACTTCTGAATGAGTATAATGCTTTCTTTCTGTTTGATTATGATCTTATTCATTTTAGGTAATCACATATGTATCCTTGTTACTGTTATAAAACTGGATTCAATGCCTAGAAAAGTTGAGAACAAAAGGGTGAGCTTAGAGAGTATATTTCAGGACACCATTAGACATTGGGCTGTTATTATTGGAAAACATTTGAGGTCATCAGAGGAATGTATTCAATATAATATACAACATCGGCACATTTTCTTCTAGATGGTGAGAACTAAGTATTATCTTGAGAGCGGAGCAGGGGGTAGTATTTACATTATCAACTTTGCTCATGAAACTCAAATAAATTCTTCTATAAAGTAATGATGTAATGGCAATGGACCAAACACTTGTTTATTTTGCATGGATTTCTCTTTATTTCCAAAGAGAGTTATTGTCCCTTTGAGTCTTATGATTATGAGGATTAGACGGTGTCTAGAAGGCAAAGAAAATGCATCAGTCAAGAAGAGTTCAAGCATGAGGGTGCTCTCAGAATACAGTCTCATAGTGAGGCTGGTGAAAACCACAAGCTGCACCTAACCAGGATTCATGTAACTGAAGAACTCTGGCTTCCACATTGCCATTTTCAGACCACTAGAGTATCTTTTTGTGAAATGATGGAAGGGCTTAATTAGTAAGACCCCTGTAATAGAAGTTATACTGATGATGGCACCTTCAGCCATCCTCTGAAAACCTACAATGGACACCTCCCCTGCTGATTACACCAGTTGGGTGCCTGGCTCAGGGCAGAGCTGATCTTCTCTGACAGGCTCATATATCTGTAATAAAGCAATAGTGCTAATACCTGGTGTTTTTAGAGTCTCTTTGAGTCATGCATTTGCCCCTGAAAAATAAAATCAGTATCTGAAAAGGATAATTTTAGTATAGTAAATATACTGGCCTCTACTACTTCCTATAAGGCAACAAGAAAAGGAGGAGAAAGAGGCTTGGATCTTGGATATTTGAGCAGAGGAAAGACTCCATTATTCATTAAACACAGACTATTACCAAACATAGAAGTAAGGTCCTTCCATATTTGGAGACTAGCATTTGTTGTGTCTGTGAGTGATCACTTCTTTGCCATCATCTGTGATCAATGATAGAACGGAACAATGAAGGTGCAGTACAGGGGGCACTCCCCCCGCACATTTATTTTCCCCATCACCTTGAGAGTGGTTTGTAAGATTTATTCACATGTCAGTGGCCCCATATATTAATTATTGCTGCTGATGCTTTTTATAATGTGTCAGAGTTTAAGACTCTTGTTACTTTGCTGTGAATTCCCTACAGTCCCAGAAATTGAAAAGAAAAAGAAGACATTATCTGTATCCCTCTCTTGAAATTCTTTCTGTCCCTGTCATTGTGATTTGTCTTGTTTATCCGTCTCATTCAAAAATTCAGATACAGAAAATAATTTGCTGAAAACTTCACCTAAGATAGTGAACAGCTATCTGATATAGATTTTATACAATTTTCTAGTGGTGTAGGATATAGTAAATGCAAAGGCAAGTCACAGTGCTTCCTTCAACAGCACATATAGTAAAACTGGAACCATACAGGAAAGTTTAACATGGGTCCTGAACAAAAGCAAGTCACAGATTTTCTTTTAGCATGGCTGGTATTTTTTCAAATTGTGGAATTTTACTCTTCTACCTGATATTACAAAATATAATGGCAGGGCTTTATGCCCTCACCTGGCCTGGCAGATAATGGTGATTCTTTTCTTGGATAGCAGAATAGCAAAAATGTATATATAGGGTATTACACTTTAATTGATAGATCTTGATAAAAATGTCAATGCTATCACACAAGTCTGCTTTGTTCTAATATTAAAGTAGAAGTCACATGACATTTCACAGTATCTGTATATGAAAGGAAAGCATCTTAATGATTGAAATTTTTTAGCCACATAATTAGAAATCACCTACCATAAACTCCTTGGCTGTATCAATTTAGCTCTTTTGTAGTCTTCTAAAATACTGTGAATAATGCTTATTAAACAAGTAAGTATTGGAAAAGTCTATCAGTTTTCTATGCTGTGCAACAAATCATTACATACTCAGTATCTTCAAATAAAACATTTATTATCTCCCAGTTTCTTTGAGATATAACTTAGTGCTGTTATAGGGCAGCCCCAATATTGAACGGGTTGCCTGGCTGTGGTTCCTCACCCCCACACTTAAAAGGGACTTATTAATACTCCACTACAGGCACACACAAAAGGTTAATAAAAGGTTTATTTACAAGGGAAAGGAAATAAGGAAAATGTACAACTCAGGGAGAAAATAGGGAAATAAAGTTTTTAATGCGTCCTACGCGATCCGCCAACCTGGAAACCCAAAAAGCACTCTCCGAGCTGGCCGGACGCAAGCTGGTGGAGAGTCAAAATGGGGGACCCCTCCAAAGCCCACGTGTCTGGCTTTATACCAACCTGGCTGCTTAACCCCACCCTCAGGTCCCAGCCACCTTCCCTTTGGTGGTGATGGGATTTAGAGTTCCCAGTGTCTTTGGCTTTGGCCTGGGGTGGGGGTGGAGTCCACAAAGCCTGTATGGAATTAGCTTTAGGACATCCTTTTCCCCCTTACAATTTCTCTGCAAAGTTGCAGTCAGTATGTCAGTGAGGGCTTCTCATTGGGAGGCTCAAATGGCAATAAATCATCCACTTTCACTCAGATTGTTGGTAGAATTCATTTCCTTGTGATATAAAAGTAAAAGCTCCAGTTCTTGTTGCCTCTTGGCTAAAGGGTTCTCTCAGCTCCTAGAGATTTGCTGAAGCTCTATGAATCTGGGAACTTTCCCTAAACCCTCCCAAAATGGCCAGCGAGGGAGGAGCACCACTAGCATGAGTCTGATAGCAAGATGGAGTCCTCTCAAATGTATCATAATCAGGGGAGTGAAATCATATCACCTTTGCTAAATTTTGTTCATTAGAAACCTGTCGTGGGCCCTGTCCATATGGGGAGGAAGGTACCCTGACGAAACTCAAAGTCTGTCTGGCACACGGCAGTAGGGACAGTCCTATAATTCCAACTTTGAACCAGAATTTAAAGTCACATTGGAGAAAAGCATGGTGATTTGTTTTTACAGAAGAAAATGTAAAGTAGCTATTAAAATAGCCAAAGGGTATAGAGTTGTCATCACACTAGATTTACAAAAGCACCTGATCCACACATTTTAGACTCTAAGAGAGGCTGAATCTTCAGGTAACAGTGGGAATATATTTTTCATTACTCTGACAATGAATAGCATGTGAGCCTCTTTCTTAGCTGAGTGTATTTTAAGTTTCAAGACTATGAATAATACCTCACTTGTCTACTATTATTTGGTCTATAACAGCCGCAGAGGTGATTATATACTATATAATTATATGCTGTTGTTAATATACATCTTACCATCTATTTATCCATAGGTCTGTTTTCTAACATAGGCACTTAATTCTAGAATGTTTAGATTAAAAACTCCAGGCTTACCAGTCTTCTAGAATGTGAGAACAATAGATGAGTTACAGGTTATTTTCCCAAGGAACAGTGTACTGGGACATATGGTACCATGTAATATTGAACAGCCACATCTAGTGATCCATGAAAAACTCCCCAGTTTCATATCCCTGGAGTTCAAAAATAGATACTATTTCCAGTACTCCTGCAGACCATAATTGCTGTTCTTTACTCAAGAGAAGCAATCTCTAAGGTAACCAAGATATACACTCTACAGCAATTTATAGGTAAGGTTAACATAAATTATGAGCTTAATACATATGAAATTTAATGCACGAAGATGTTTTTCCATATAAAAGTAATTAGTGGAATTCAAAAACTAGTTGTGTTCACCCATGTTAAGTCCTGAGGACACCCTTTGTCTGTTTTATAATAAACACATACAATTTTAGTGCACCACTGATGGTTCTCAGAGGTAACAATGACCCTGTGATAATCCACATACATGTGTATGGGTCAGACAAATGATGGCACAATCAAAGGGGTTTAGGAATATTTGCTAAAGTCATTATTTATAGAGAAATAGACAGGGTTAAAGGGTAGTAAAGCATTCTGCGCTGCCTACAGCTGGAAACTACTTCCACACATACGCTTGATGAAGCATACAGTTATCAGAACATAGAAAGAGGTATTCTATTAAAGGAGGCCACCCCAAAAAGAATCTGACCTTAAGTAAAGAAAAGTAATATAGGATTGCAAGTCTCCTGATAGAAAACAGGGAAATAAATACTGTAACTCCTCATTTCTTTTACCTTCTAATATTCTGTTGGTGCTACTCATTGTCTCAACTAATAATAAGCTACAATGCAAAACAGTATTATTGGTACAATCCTTAGAAGTTGAGCTCATGAGCAACAGAGCAAGAGAAAGAAGGTTAAAGAATGGTCAACATGAACAAAAGGGGATTATCCTGTAGCATGTCAAAGTGCATCAATAATTCAAAGATAGTTGTGGGTAATCTCCTATCTTTATTAAAATTCTAGCTTTTGTCTATGGTCAGATTTCTGTCAGTTTCTTCTTTTTATGTCTGGGGATATGGGTCAAAGAAATATTGAAACAGTTACTTTCTAATATTGCCTTAGGAACTACATCAATCATATATTTCATTTATTCATATTCTGACCTCTTTTCAGAAAACATAGGGCTTCTTGGAGAGACTGTTAAAATCTTGAATGTTCGTCTAGCCATTCATAACTGCAGTTTCCCCCAAGGCAATTCCTAACAATTTCCAACTTCCTATAGGCTGGTCAAATTTAGGAAACTTCTGTAATTCCAAATCCTCTTTAGAGGAAGGCCCAAGGAATAGAAGGAGCAAAAAAAATTACCCAACATCCTTCCATTCAGGCCCCAAGTCTATATTGATAAAATTTCCATAACTCCTTGAAGGCATGCTAGTGAAAATCTGGAGAGAATTTCTGAAGGTTGCTATATACTATAACTTATTATCTAAATACCTACATTTTTTATAGTTTTCTTTGTACTTTTTTATATAAAGGGGAAGAAGAAGCTTCATGTCTAAATTTATGATAAAATACTTAAAAATAGCTTTATGCCTAAATTTGACATAGATTATTTCAAAATTATCACATACATTATAGAATGAAATTACCTAGTTGTATCAATCAAGAGACCAATGACATCTACTACATCTACTACATAAATTGTATTAACTCTAATCCAAAGCATAATTCACATTGCTTTTTTTTATTTCTAAGAAGTCTTGACATTGAAAACAAAAGAATTGTTTGTAAAAATCAAGGATCTATTTAGATCACAAAATCCCTTCCCATAGTCATGTATAGCTTGGGAACCATGTATCTTCCTTTCCCACAGATGACCAGAGGTATAAGATTTTAGAGAAACTGAATTAAACATCAAAATCAAGAATAACAAAGCAAAGAAAGTGCCTCTCTCTGGTAAGAAATCATGAACAGAGAAACTCAGATAACCTCACTAGATACCAACTTTTTACTCTCAGGATAGCTGGGCAATGAGTGAAATTGAAATATTCTTACAAAAAACGTAATGGCATTTGAGAAAATGACCATATGTAATGTTTTTTGTGATTGCTATTCCAAAGGAAACTTTCTCCTATCACAATCCTATCCTAAAGCCTGACATGACACACTGTGACAAAGAAGTTTTTTCTTGCATCATTCTGATGGTCAGGGATGGCCAGCAAAATGAGGAAGTTTCAACATAAATCCAATAAAGCAAATCTATCATAAAAAAACAGATAGAGAAAAATTAAAGGTTCTTAGATATGTAAATGCTTATAAGCTAGGCAGTGATCCATAAGAAAATATGAAAGATAAAGTTAATGAAATCTAGAAACAGTAACCATAAAAAAAAGCTATGGCCAATTTTAAAAAATTGAGAGAATTAACCCAAGATCTCCAATGTCTGACTCAAGTGACTTCCAGAAAATCTAAAGAACGAAAATAGCAAAGATATTTCAAAAGAAAATCCCTCTAGTACTAAAGGACATGATTCTCCAGATTGAGAAAATCCAATGTCTGCCCAACCTATGGATTATTTTAAAAGTCCCATTATGAAGCACATCATGGAGAAATTATAGGATGAGCACGTTAAAGATTCTGACCCCAAGGAATAAAAATGGTACTGTAGATCTCAAAACAAAATGAAATATGTGAATGCTAAAAAACAAGGTATCTTCAAATTCTGAAGGAGAAAAGAATTCCCAACTTAAAACGCTGTACCCATGTAAACTCTTATTTATGTATAAAGATGAATTAAAGGTAATTTATGACATTCTAAATACTTTTTGAGTCAATCATTGCCCATTTATTCTTACATAGAAACAACTGGAGGATGTGCTTAATACTTGAGTGTAAAGCACATAAAACAGAGATCCAAAAACCAAGAAATTGAACACAGGGAAGAAATAACGGGAAGTTCCAAGAAAACCTAATGAAATTTGAAGCAACAGGCCCAGACTAGAGTAAAAAGAAAAATACATGAAAGTCTTTGAAGGTATCTGAAAAGGAAAAGTTTGCAGCTACTTCTGAGCATTTAGAAAGAAATATTAATGGACTGTTAGGTCTATTGGAACATTTTAGCAAAAGTAAGGTTGAACACATTCAAAAGTTAAGGTTTCACAAATACTTATATAGAAGGAAGTTATATTTGTGTGGTATTTATTCAGATTATTTACCCTTTGAGTTCATTATTTGCAGAGGTTTAGAGAGTGATGGAGTTTGTATGATCCCCATTGTGCTTTTACCTTGACCTGCCAGTTAACACAAAGTAATTTGACGTGGAAAACAAAATCACGTGATTGAGGGTGGATGAGTAGAGCTGAAAAGGTCTATTGGAATTAAATGTTTACATTTTTCTAAGACAAATGGCCATATATTTCTCTATATACCTCTTCTCACAACCTTACCCATAGTTTGCAATGAAATTAATTTTTCTTTCTGTTTATCTTACCTTAACATGCATGGATGGAAGCCTGCTCTCTCTCTAAACATTCTGCTTTCAAACAACCATGAAGTCAAAAGAGGTTAACATAGATAGACTTACTCCTTTCTTGCAATGAACAGGCACATCATTAAGTGTAACAAGTAGTCAGTCAGCTTCCTCTAACTCAGCTTGCTATCTCCTGAGATAAAGGAGGAGAGAGCTATATATTTACTTTCCTAAATTTACCTCACTAATCTTTCTTTCCTTTTTTCTTATAGTTAAGTACTGATTCATTAGATCTTTCCTTTCCACACTATAAAAAATTATATAAGTGTGTGTGGGGTGTGTGTGTATACATATATGTGTGTATATATATATATATATATATATATATATAAAGCCTATGAAGTCATTTAAACTGCAATTAATTGTACTATTAATTCCTTATTGTGCTAAAGTATGAAGAAGTGGTTTTCTTTAAATATCAGAGAAATGAATTCAAAAACAACAATAATGCTCCCTAAATTTAACGATTAGACCAGTAGGCAGATGCTTATATAATATTTTCCCCATTTCAGGGTAAAAATATTAGGTAGATTATGTGAATAAATATGGTAATTGAAGCCAAATGGGAATTGCAAATTTAGAGCTCAATCTCCATTTTCACAAGAAGAAGCCACTTAACAGACATAGGCTCTAGGGATCAGTGACTCTTTAGAATAATGTTAGCCTTTAAAATTGAATTCATAAATACCAAGGGAATGATGACTCTGCTTTTTCCATTCCTCAACAACCCAGAGTTATTTCCTCTGTAAATCATATGTTTTGTTTTTATTCTTGACAACAAGTTGAGGGGAGAAGGAAAACCCACATTTGTAAATTATGCATCATTGTATTTGCTCTTGTAAACTTTTCTATTGTAGGAGGACCTAGAATGAAGATTTAGACTTTAGTGTTGAAAATCTTACAGCAGTGTCAGTTGGATACACCTCCAATCTTTCTTTGGACAGTTAAGTTCATGTGCTTCCAACATGAAAGTGTCAGAAGTCTTCATTAAAACAGTGCACCTTTCTTCGTGCTAAAGCAGAGAGCAGTCATCTTATGGTTCACTGATGCATTTCGTTCTATGGAGATTAGAAGTTATTTAATTTATGTGGTGTAAAAACAGTCCCAGTTATTCAGACAAAAGTACCAGAAGTTATGTGGTAAAGGAAATTCTAGAGCTCTATATTTCCCAGAAAACTGTCGAGTGTGTAACTTTATTTTTCAACAGCAAGGACTATAACTTTGTGGAGCTAATTAACTGATCTAGAATAGTCATCCAACCTCTAAAGAATAAGAGGTATAGATTAATCTTCCAGACATACACAATTTCTGACAAGAAATCTTGATTTGCTCCTCTGAGAAGAAAAGATATCTCTCATTTTGCAAAGTCTCAGTTATAGCCAGTGAAGCATGCTAAAATATATTAGAGAATAATAAAGTGAATTTTATTAAAAG